TTTATTGACTGGAGTCAAGCGAGAACTAGGGGCAGGTCAAAACTGTAAAACACCTGTCACGCCTACTTTGCTTCTTAAAATCCACGCGGCTTTGGATTTACAAAACTATAACAACAAAATTTTTTGGGCTGCTTGTTTGCTTGGTTTTTTTGGCTTCCTTAGACCGATTAATTTTCTTATTAAGGACCATTTTGATCCGGCTGTTGATATACAACGACGCGATGTCCAGATTACAAATGAAGGTTTAATTGTTCGACTTAAAGTCACTAAAACGATTCAGTTTCGCACTAAGGATATCTTTGTATTATTGCCTCATTTGCAAAATCACCCGCTTTGCCCAGTAACTGCGCTTCATAATATCTTATGCCTTCCAGGTACTCCGCTTTCCCCGCTCTTTTTGTTGCAAAATGGCTCTTTCCTGGGTTACAATACTTTTTTGCGATCTTTTCAGTATATTTTGCATGTCATTGGGTTAAACTATAAACTCTATGGCGGACACTCCTTTCGCCGTGGTGCCGCCTCTTGGGCATCTTCTGTCGGTTTAAGCGATAGCAATATCAAACTCCTGGGTTATTGGTCCAGCGAGTGCTTCCAGCGTTATGTGCATTCCGATCTACATCTTCGCCAGCAGGCTATGCATAATTTTTCATGCTTAATCCCTAAAACACTTTAAACAATAGACACAACGTCATTTTTTATACAAGTACGTGTGGGTTTGGGATTTTATGTTGTAAAAATGTTTCGATATTTGTTTTTATATGTATTGTATGTAATTTTCATTCATTGTTCAATTACTTGTTTTTATTGCATTGGATTATTACTTGAAAATGTAATAAATGTTTAGCCACTTTTATATTTTATTTCAATCCTATTGTGCAGCTATTGCAACTTATTGAACGAAGGACAAAGGGTTAAAATTTGAAAAAAAAAATCATCAGGTGGTGTTATGGTTTTAAACTTTAATACAGGGTATACAGAATTTAGCCGCAACTGTTACTTCTTTATGGCAATATGCAACAGCCATGGGAGGTTAAAATAAGCAAACAACTTGATAAACTGGGTAATAGTGAATCCGAAATTATAAAACTTTCATCGCCAAAGTTTAGCTACACCATAAACTTATCCAGGGTTTTGATTAATGGTAAAAACTGTGAGACAATTTAGACGAACATTTACCAGAACATTTACGTGATGGACAAAACCAAGGCTGGTGATGTGAATAGAATTAAATAAAAGTCAGTAGATTCCTTATGTTTATATCCCAAAAAGATCCTCTACTTGGCAGATTGAAAACAAATCCGTTCGATAATCTTGAAAACGATATAGCTAATTTAGCAAAATATGTAATGTGATCATAGGATGAGATTTTAATGCAAGAACCAATTCATTAAATGAGATCCTCCTCATTTGACAAGACCTTCCCTCAATCGGTCACTAAATACCAAAAAATCATTTCTATCGGGAAGAAACAACTACAAAATTTAGTAGATGATGCCAAACAACAAGTCTCTATGTATTCTCAACGGACGCTGTATCGGGGATATGCTAGGAGATAAAACCTGTGTAAACGCTCCAGGTTCTTGACCGATCTCTCTCATTTCCAAAATATTCGCTGTCTAAAAAAATTGTATTAGTTATCTGACCACTGTGTGTTATCAAACCCTATTCAGTAAACCCAAGAAATATTCTTCCTCGACACAGTAAATATCAACATAATTGTAGGTTAAGAAAATGTATCTGGATATCTAACTAAATTATTTTCGGAACACTATACAACATCAAGATATCCGCAAAAACCTTGACATTTTTGATAATGAAATTTCCATCACTTTAGATGAATGGGATATGTTTCACCGAATTTTTTAACTCCAAAACAACCGAATTCTAAGCTTGAAGGTCAACTAGACAAGGGTCTTCTGATCATTATTGAAATCAATAAAACTCTTTATAACGAGATCTCTCATTCTTTAAATCATTAAAGAAGAACAAATCTCCAGGACCGGACATGATCATCACGAATTATCCGATCATCACGAAAATCAATAGGGATCATCTTCATAATGACATTGACACACAAAATAAAAGTCAAAAGAATCCATAAAGAACTGTAGCCTGTAGAGTGAGCACGAGCCAAATGTGAACGGACGGACGGACGGACGGACGGACCGACGGACCGACGGGGTGATTACAATATACGCCCATCTTACGTGTGGGCGTATAAAAATCCTCTTTTATACTCTGCATGACTGATGATTTGTCCACTCGAAATTCCTGGACGCAGACTGTCTTGTATCTCATTGATTTTTTCAATATCGATATCAATCAATCTTCAAAATGTATTAGATCAACCATTGAAAACCATTTCGAAACCTATTACGCTGCCTTTATTCACGGGGAACAGAGTAAACTACGAACCTACGCCAGAGTGTTCATCCTTTGGTAATAGAGAGGGATCGGCACAGACATGTCCTTATAAATAAAAGAGTATGTCAGCATTGGGATCTCCACCAGGTTGTACATCATTTTCTACTAGTATGTCCCAGATACACCCAGCTCCGAGAGAAATAAATAACACCCGGTTATTCTTATTATACAAATTTATGCCTATCCCTTCATATCATATTACACCCACCACCTTTTATAGCAAAAGACATTTCGCGTTTTGTGTATATTGCTTTTGACGAACGTAAAAAGGGACCTTTACTTTACTTTGTTTTCTATATTTTGTATTTATTTTGATGCTTATTCTGCACGTATGATATATCTATATTCATTTAATCTTTTCGCATTATTAACCGTTTTCATAATTGTATGCTGCATACAAAGGACCAAGGCATCTGTACACATGTTCTATATATTAAGCACCATTGTTATTTAAACTATTCTGCATGTATCATCATATATCTATATTATATCTATATTCACCTTATCTTTTCACATTAATGTACTGTTTATATTTGTTTTCTGCCCAAAATGGGCGTAAATGCAATAAATATCATCTTATAGTAGTCGACAGACTATATTACTCAAAGCCAACAAATGAAACTTATCACTTAAGAAAACTGACGTGTGCCTATCCAATGAAATATAAATGACATATCAGACTCTGCACTGGAAGAGTAGACCCTAAGCTGCACTCACCGAAACAAAATCTCTGACTTCATGAAAGCCGATATTTTTTTATTTATATTAAATTTCAGTTACATTTTGCACAAAAGTTATCTCTTTTGGTAGTAAATTATACAAAAATGTGATATCTACGATGACAACGTAGCTGACTTTTAACAAGAACTGAACTGAATAACATCAAGGCCACCAATTACTGCTCTCACTTATAGTGTCTTGTAGAATTGTCTTGTTCTTCCTCTTTATTACACCTTCGAACTTTTTCAATAACAAAATATTAGTAAGGTATAGGATATAAATATTAAAAGTAAAAGAATTGCTTAAATTAATTCGTTAAAGGTATTTGGCAGTATTCTATCGCTTCCCGTAACCACTTAAACATTGTCTTCTATCCACAGATTGGAAATAAAATGAAATGAAATGAATTGAGTTTTACGTCCTACTTGGTCTTGGTCCATAACTTGAAGCCACGTTTCGTCAATACTTGACCGGATGGTGACGACAGAAACGTCTTGATCAATTTGTTTTGCGTAAATAAAACATTATATCTGTTTATATAGTTAATATAGTTTTTGTTCAGAATATGGATTTCACCAAAAAAAGTACACAATGTTTTACCTTCAGGTTCTGTAGGTGGTGAGTTACATATAGACAAATCTTACTATAAAGTGGTACTAACACAAGGAAGTCTTTCACAATCGGCAGTTGCCTATGATTGATCCAACGGCATCTACATCATCAAACAACCCCAACCTTTTCTAGTACTGCTGCCTGCCATCGTTAACCGATGTCTAATACCTCCTCTGGCAAGATAGGCGGGTGTATATCTTTCATTGTTGTAAATGTTCACATCAATGTTTTGGTGATCTAGTAATAGATGAGCAATATCATCCATAAACATTGAAGCGGCTATATGTAACGGACTATCTCCATGCTGGTCTACACAGTTCACATTTGCACCATTATCTATCAACGCCCTGGCGACTGCAAGCTTATTACTTTTGACAGCAACTAAAAGAGGGGTTTCTGAGTTACCATTTTTCAAATCAATGGATACTCTTGCCCTAACGAGTTTAGTTACTGCTGCCGAAATACCATATCTGGCTGCAACATGGAGACTGGTATCTCCCACTTCATTCTTCGTGTCGGGATATTTTAATTTCTCTAACAGTAAGTCAATCGCTTCCATGAAACCGAAACGCATTGCTAGATGTAGAGGAGTATCACCATCAACGTTTGTACTGTGCGTTGAAGCGTTGTTCTCTAACAGTAAAGCCACGATATCTAGTTTATTTGCTACACATGCTAAATGAAGAGGCTGATCTAAATTTGCATTTGCACAATCGACATAGGCGTTTCTTTGCAATAATAACTGTACCACCACTTTGTTATTGCATTGCACGGCTAGATGGAGGGCTGTATTTCCGGTATCATCTTTTTCGTCCACGTCTACGGTTGTTTCCAGTAAAGCGGAGACCTTTTGTACGTCCTCGTGGTTTTTAATTGCTGAATGTAAGGTTAGTGTGTTTCGAGAACTACATGTTGAGGTGCTAGCTGTGATAATAGCAAGAGATGCAGCCCCATCTGAGCTTTTGCCGGCTACTTCGAAGTCCGTAGGCTCAGACATTCTCGAACTTCCAACATTTTCTTCGTTTATTATATCAAATTTCGTTATTCCTTGTTCACCTTCAGACATAATTGGAAAGCTGAAATTTTTTAAATTTTATTTTATTATCAAAGGCTTATAAAAGCTCTATTACAATACACAGTTGGACACCCCTCTTTTGCTATTCTATGAATTGCTTTGTTAAAGGGACAGTTCGCCATCCGTTAGACCGATCGTACCTTAGTTTCAAAACAGGATTTTTTCTAGCTTAGTCAAAGTCAAAATACGACTCGTCTTTTCTGGGGACTCTGTCATATACATATAGAAATAGAAAGTGATATTTCTAGATTGGGGTATTTATGAAGGAATTATGCCTATTTCGTACATTGACAGTACTTCTGAAGACTTATTTACATTCAAGACCCAGAGCAACTCCCCAGTATGGCGAATCTGTACCTTTAACTTGTTTGCTGATGTCTAATTAATTTATATTTTATAGGAACATCGTTTAAAATGATGGTTGTTAGTGTCGAACCTTGAAATTAAATTCAAAGATTTGACTTCCATTATCTGTATCAATATACTAAACTTTATTCATTTTGAATAAGTGATATGAGTATAAACAAGACCAGACCATATGCGAATAAAATAAACTCCTTTATCAAAAACATAAAAAGTTTTGAAACTTCATTCTAAATGATCCTGCATTTAAAATTTTGCAGGATTATTGCTAAAAATGGAATCTTACCTTATGTCTACATTTTCTGGAGATCTAATTGGTTCGCTATTTGGACTCATAAGCTGACGACTGCTCCAAAGTTCTCTTGCTGTCATGGCCTCGAAATTAGGAGGATTGACTTCCTTGAACTGTTGAATTTGAGGTCCAGAGCCAACAGTTCGTTTCATACTGCGTTTCTCAATCAGTACTCTCTCTTTTTGATTAGAGTCAAACATATTACCACTGACTGGCTCCAGTTTAATGAACTGACTTAAAACTCTACCAGCTCTTTGCGGTTTTACAATTTCATCTTGGATATTAACTTTTTCGACTTCAGTATCAGAAAGTGGATCGTCTTCAAGTGATATTTGACCATCTTTGGGAAGCATCTTGTGTTCACCTGACACGGGATTTTCCTTATCAAGACCATCCTGTTCCTGAGACGAATCTGTGGATTGAAATTCAAGGTCTATTTCAATGGATTCTGGAATAATTGTTCTATGCAATAAGGCTTTGAGTTCATCTTTTTGCTTCTCAAGGCGTCGTGCATCTTCAGGTGATTGTGTAGACAAGACTAGTTGTATACATCCACTTTCAATATGCTGTAATTTAGCATTATATATTGTTATCAATTCCGTCACCAAATCGCGTAGGTCGTTATTGTTCTCGTCTACCATTTTTTCAAAAATTTCCTTCTCGAGTTTTAGAGTATCAACTTTTTTCCCGTCTTTAGTGAAACGTATTTTCCATTCGCAGTATGCCTCTTCATCATTACTCCAATTATCATCGTTTTTCCATCTAATAGAGACCAACTTATCTCCCTTGGTTACTACAAAATAATGGAATGCAAAATTGGTATGATATTGTAGATACCTTAAGACATTCCAAAGATCTAATTTACTCCTTCAAGATAAAATGCTCATAGTTTATATGTCAATATGAATAATTCCTAAATTTTCCATATGAGGTAGGCTTGCCGAATTTTACTGGGTAAAATAAAATAAAAGCCAATTTCAATCTATTTGGTTACATCTATAGATAGGAGAGCAACTGAAAAAACGTTCATCGAAAAATCGCAAAATATAACTTGTCAGACAAGGTAACATACACCGTTAAGAGTAATGATGTTTTTCATGATCCTGAAAGCATGAACGTTGACCTCTGGTCAAATAGTTGTCTTGATTTTCCTGAAATCTCACCAAACCACATATTAACACCAAATTTCAAATGAACTCTTTCGCTTTTATTGTGATACACGGATTTAAAATCGTTTAAAGAAATTATCAATCAACAGAAACCCAAATACGAAACCATTAAGTAGAAAATAAAACATTTTGTGATTTATTTACCTTGAAATTCACCGGCTTCTTTCAATTTCTGTTCTAGATCAGGATTAATAGCAATTTCAACTATATCACAGTTGTTTCCGATAGTAATAATTGTAGATTCACCAGGGTTGCTTTTATATTTACATTTCACTTCATTCTTTTCAGACAGAATCACAATGTCTGACGTCACACCGCTCTGAATATTATTGTTGTTAGTATCATCGTCTGAAAAAAAAAACATTAGATAAGACATAGATAATACATAAATAAAAGCCCTTTAGAGGGGACACATTTGTGAACCAGTTTAATGGGGTAAAGCCTTTTTTCTTTTTTAATTTTTTAACTTCAAAAACAGCCTGAATGCTCCCGTCAAAAATACGACTTTCGGTTTATCTACAAAGACCTAAAAACTATTTTATCGAAAGCCTTTTATATGAAATGACTTATCCAAACATGTTTAGTAATATTCAATTTGTTTATTGGTAATCGAAACCGTTTAAGTTTCATTGTAGGAAGCATCAATACGAGTTTTCATTTAAAAAGTACCATGGATACATGAAACAGTATTTATCAAAAACGTTGTCAAAGAAAAGTTTGTGTAAAAGTTGGCTTTACTTATCCTCATCTACCTTTTGAAGTAGCACGAAAGAATACTATTGTATTTTTAGTACCAACTGCCATATGGTCTGGTTTCCCTTGTACATGGACGTGTAGTTTGGATGCTGGGCGCTGCAAGAAAATACTCAAAATGACGTTTTCACACATATTAAATGGAAAAGTCCTGAAGAGTGAAGATTAATTTGTGAAGACATCCAGCGGTTTACAGTGTGTAATATAGGGGGAATTGTTCCATTAAAAGAATTGAAATATCAATAAGCTTATAACAGTACATTTGCCTGAAATTTTTTATACATAAACGACTGGAATGTGGGAAAACAAGGATTTTGGGACTCTAACAACACTTGGCATTGGACATAGTCAGGGAACTTTGCTGTATCAGTCTTTGTGATCAGTGATTGTAAAAGAAAAATGCATTATATCCATTGCGCATGACTAGATGCATGTTGTAATCAGCTGAATATATATATTAGTGTGCCAGTAGATACGTATCGAGGGAACCATCCTTACCTGATTAGCATTAGGAACTGGTTCGTCTTTACTATCCATATTAATTCAAAGGTTACTGATCAATTGGTATTATCACTTTCCCCCAACCTGGAATATTATGAGGTGTTAACCATTTACTTACAAATGTACTTGATTCGATACATTTAGTGGACCACAAATTGTGAGTGTGCAAGTGCCTGTTAGATATATATCAATATTATGTATTAATTATCATAAAGCTGATATCTGCATTGCAATTAACCCTGTTATATTTACATTGTTTTCTATTGATGTAGGCGACTGAAGTGCATTTTATCGTATATATATATATATATATATAGTTTTTCAAGTTGTACTCTTTTGATATGATACTTTTGCTACATATATGAATGGGCCTTGTCAAATAGAGTACATGTATATACATATACATAATAATGATTAAGCTATAAATAAGGAATTTATCGTTTCACTCTAATAAACATAGCAAAATAAATTGTAAAATCATAAACTGTGGAATGTATTTTACGAGTAGCATTGCCCAAGGGAGCAATCTAAAAATAAGTACATACATTGTTACTGTAGGTACATTGTAGAGGTACATTGTAGCTTACCCGTTGTCCAACTGTCTATTTTCCGCTTAATTATGTAACTTCAAGAAAATCTGTTCATATCTTCATCCGAGCCATGTAAATTTTCCTTCATTTTACATCCTTCTTGATGTACTGTATAAAAATCCGGTTTTACAATATAATGATGTAAGCGACAATAACCTACAACGTAGCATAGGGCCTATAAGTGTTATGATATACATGGAGATAAACCTACATGTATATGACGTATTAGTTTAGGTCACCTCAATGCAACTGAATTATGGGAGAGTGAATTATAGCACATCGAAAAAAAGCCTAAGAGGATTAAAAGAGATTGTAAAGAGGTTTTCTGAACTTTTTATGCGTAACGAGATACTAATATCATATGGAAGCCGGCTGTGGCCATAATACACTCGACTTCTCGCACGAGAAGTCGATAGACGACAAAGCGAGGAAAAGGGCGAGAAGTCGAGGGTAAAAAAGGCGAGGGAAATGGCAAGGAAAAAGGTGAGAAAGCGAGGAAAAAGGCGAGAAAGCTTGGAAAAAGGCGAAAAAGGGAGCCAAATTTTCCTCGCCCTTTTCCTCGCCTTTTTCCTCTCCTTCCTTCATTCATCTTTATCAGTGCACATTTTTTTTTCAAATTGTTAATTTAATTTAATTTTCTGTTGTTCCATGCATACGGTATTTTGCATTTTGTATTTAAAATCGGTACCCATGTCGGTCGGTCTGTTCAATCTATTCAAAATCGCGATGACTACATTTTTGAAATTGATAAACAGTTGAACAATCCAAATCACTATCGCCAACTTGATACACCTATTTTTTGGAAACTGCACGAGAAATAAACAATATTCTACAAAATTTGGTAAAAAAGAAATTTATTTCAGAAAAGCAATATGACGTCCACCAAGCCTCGCCAACGACACATTTTCACGCTTCCGAAATCCCGAAACTGAGTGGTCCGTTGCCAACAAAATTCCTAAAGGTAGACCAATAATTTCTAATTGTTCTAGCGAATCATATCGAGTTTCAGAATACATAGATTACTTTTTGCTGCCACTAGCATGCCAACACCCTTCTTATCTGAAAGACACAACCGATTTTGTTGAAAAAATCAAGAAATTGGACATTTCCGAAAACGCGTATTTCAATTCTTTGGACGTAACCAGTATGTATACCAACATTGACAACAATGTTGGTCTTGACGCCGTCCGTAAGGCATTTGTTCGATATCCGTATTCTGATCGACCTGATACAGAGATTTTAGATTTACTTAAACTATGTTTAACGCGCAATGACTTCTTTTTTAATGGAAAAATATATTTACAAACATCTGGAACTGCTATGGGCAAACGATTTGCCCCTAGTTATGAGAATATTTTTATGGCCGAGTGGGAGAGGGAGATAGAGAAAATATCTCACCGTTTAAACCTTTATTTTATGGGCGGTTTCTTGACGATATTTTTATCATTTGGTCCGATACTCTAGAACGTTTCTGGGAATATTTCGAAATTTAAAACAACCACCACCCTTCAGTGAAATTGACAGCAAATATCAGCGAAAACAGCATGGATTTTTTGGACACCACGGTGTTCAAAGGCAACAACTTTCTTTCTTCTAAAGAATTTGACATTAAAGTACTTTTTAAGGAAACTGATACACACCAACTTTTACTTCATTCCACCCGAAGCACACATTTTGTTGAATAATTAAATCTCAAATTCTAAGATTTCATAGAATTTGCACCCAACAGGCTGATTTTGAATCTAGCATGAAACCTAAGCTTAGACGTCTACAACATTCAACATGATAACCAGATAATACCTTTTATAACGACATTTGATTCTACAGCTACCAAAGCCTCCATAATAGTCAAACGCCATTACTCGGAACTTCAGAACAAATTTCTCCATGTATACACAAAACGTTTGGTTGAAGCATACAAAAGAAATCAAAATCTTAGCAATTTCCTCTTTCACCGTTCAACTTGAACCATTGAACAATGTCCATTCATCCTAGGAGCATAGATTTCTTCATATAAATGTATCATGTTCTATCAATAAATTAATCGATTTCTAAGTTAGATTTCAAGGAATACTTATTTCAGGACTGCAGTGTATGTTTGTGTGTGTGTCTTTTCAACTAAAATCATACTAATGACTAACTAATTTCACATAATTAATAGACTTATCTATTACTCTGTGACCTAGGCCAGTGCTTTCCTTGAGACTCGTCTCAATACACCCTAACACTATTGGTAATCGAATGAGAATCTAGCATTAAGTCAATTTTATTAAAGAATAAAAATTGTATATATATGTTTACGAAATGGGATGGGCAACAAACAAATGCGTCTCCTTTTCTATTTTGTAATATTATAACTATGGTCCTTGGATTCAATTTATCAATGAAATAAGTATTCATTTATAACTGACGTCTTATGCCATGATAAACATGATCTGGAATTTAGTTTTCAACCAATTATAAATCTTAGGGTGTATAGGTTGTAATTTGGTACTAATGACATAGTTACGAAAGCACAGGCACAGGACTTATAACTTGACTTGTGTAATTTGAAAGGAAAGAGTATTTATAGTGTTATCGAATATCTTCACAAGCTGTCTATCAAAAATAGCCTATCAAACATAAAAACTTTTGAAAAACCGGACCGGGACACATTGTTAAAAAAAACTGTTTTGGGGAGTCTGTAGGGTTTTCTTTTTTAAGTTCTTTGTAACAAGGTATGTGTGTTTAGTTTTCAGATTGATATTCACTCAACGGTGGCATTCCGATTTTTGTACACAAAAGAATTTTTTTTTTTTAGCTCAAATTTGTGACAAAAAGATATACCAAAATCAAGAAAAATGTGTCCCTGAATAATGATATATGAAAGTTTTAACTTAAAAAATCCAGCCGTTAAACGCCAAAACTATTCTATAAGCTTATGACGTAGGCCTAGGCTAAATATTACTTTGTAAGTTTGTATTGTTTTTGTTAATTGCAAGAAAACTACTGTACAGATTTAAGCAAATTAAACGCTTTATTACAGAGAAATATAAAAATATTATTTTTCTGAAGGTTCCAACTAAAACTATTGAGCCATTAAAAAGACAAACATCAAAACTAGGTCAAACTAATAAATTAACGATCCATTTGTTTATTAACGTATCGAAATCAAATTCAGTTTGATCCAATAGATACATAGATATTTATAGCGAGGAAAAAGGCCCGAAAGAGATGAAAAAGTCGAGGAAAAAGACGAAAAGGCGAGAAAGCGAGAAAGCGAGGAAAAAGGCGAGAAGGCGAGAATGCGAGAAAGCGAGGAAAAAGGCGAGAAAGCGAGGAAAAGGGCGAGAAAGCGAGGAAAAAGGCGAGAAAGCGAGAAAAAAGGCGAGAAGTCGAGAAAGCGAGGAAAAAAGCGAGGAAAAAGGCGAGGAAAAAGGCGAGAAGTCGAGAGTAGATTTGGCCGCAGCCGGCTTCCATAATGTCATCATTTTGCAGACGTTTGTTGTTCTATAAAAATAAGCGTTTTACGACGTCAGTATTGCGAATTTTGCTGAATATGTTGTTGTCTATTCGATAAGTTTAAGTGGAATTGCAAGAACCACCAACTTCGACTAAAAATTGGAATTGTGCAAATCGATGTATCTGAGGCCATTCTGGGCAGCATTCTTTTTAACGTATCAGATTATGCCCAATAATTGACCGAAAATGTAGTACTTTGGCTCAACCAAGGAGATCGTTTTCTGACATGGGACTATGTGATGGTGAGTATAAAATATGATTAATAAAATTAAGCGTACTCACTCATAAAAGCCCACAAGAATATTTTCTTTTGCAGATCTGAATTTCTACATGTCTCCTCACAGATAAGAACATCCAATATCCCTATGATTGGCGAAGAGTTTTGGCTAAGGTAGAAAGGAAACTAAGTTGTAATCCTTGTAAAACAATGGTACAGTCAAGTAACCTAATTTCGTGCATCTCCGGAAATAATTATCTTTTTCTACAATGGCGAATTTCAGTTATTACCAAATGTCACAATTTTTTATCGGCCAAATTTCCTTATAATCCCGAGCCAATCGGAATTCTGTCGTCTGCTAGAATATATTCCAAGGAACAAAGTCATGTGACAAATTACTTTTGTCTAAATGGGTTGCCAAAATTATTATTGTTATTATTAATAGCGAATTCCATGTCAGCAGAACAAATCATATGGAACACAATGTAGGTTGTAATGAATTTTAGCAATTTATTGCTCTTACGTTTTGCTTATATTATATTGTCAGTCACTTTTTTTAAAATCATTGTTCTTTAAAGGAATTGGCATTAGTTATAATGGCTTGACTTTAAAGGGACAGGTGCGTCATTTTTTTTTAGCGGGTTGGGGTGGGGGTGGGGAGTCTTCTGAAGTACTAGAAATGTTAGAAAATCTTATTTATAGATAAAACAATGTACACGAAAATAGGTGATGTATTTTGAAGTCGATGTCGTGTTGGTTATTCATGAAATATGGGTCAAGGTGAAGGATTCATAAAGAAAATCGAAACAAACCAATTTTAATTATTTTGTAGAATATCTGAGGAAACATCTAAGACATAAAAAGTTTTTTTTCCGACTTTTAATTTTGACGAAATTCCGTGTTGAATCCTTATATGCACGAATATAGGTTACACCACTTTAGTTAATTTCTTTACTTCTTTTCCTTATCGTATTTGTAAGTGTTCACGATAAAAATGGAGAGGTCTCTGTTACAGAATAGCCTTCGGATGATTGTTCCAAGTGTTAAGACGACCATCGATTTTTTTTTATGTCAGTCCCTCGGTTGGAATAATCTTGATAATTCTTGATAAATTAAGGAATTGTGGGATAGCGAAACTTCGATATCCATCACCTTCTTATTTTATCAAGAAACGGGTTCTACATGACATGCTACGATTGGTTAAAAATACTACATGTTAGATTACCATGGAGATTTAAAATATCAGAAAACGAAAAGATATGAAAATGTGATCAAATTTTAATTAGATTGAGAGTCAGTAAAAACTAGAATAAATTCCCCCTGGTATTCGAGACCTTAAGTATA